TATTTGGTAATGAAAAACGAAATTATTTAGCTCCCATTACCAAATATTTGGTAATTAGGACGAAATTATTTAGCTGCTATTACCAAATATTTGGTAATTAGGACGAAATGATTTAGCTCCCATTACCAAATATTTGGTAATGAAGAACGAAATTATTTAGCTCCCATTATCATATATTTGGTAATTAGGACGAAATTATTTAGCTCTCATTACCAAATATTTGGTAATTAGAAGAAATATGCAAGTAAAAAATATCTAAATAATTTTGCAAAAAATTTATAATTATAACGTCTTAATTTTTTACATATTTTTAAATTCCTTTTTATTTGAATACAACTTGACAGCTTGAGGAAATGTAAACAATTGTCATAGAAACATTTATAAATTGCTAATTAATATTGCCTTGACAACCATTTAAATATAAACTGTCAAAATATATTTTTTGCACATGATCAATATTGCCTTGACAACCATTTAAATATAAACTGTAAAATTATATTTTTCGCATATGACATTGAGATAACCAATCAGCGTCGCGATAAAACTGCAACAATACACTTCGATACTTTCGAGATTTCGATACATTCGACTATCGACTTCTCATGCCTTTTTCAAGAGTGGAATGTACTTTTTATTTTAATGTATTTTTTATTTTACAGATCAACTTTAAACAACAACTCCGCTGTTGTGCGTCGTATCGGTGAGTGACACTAATTTGTTTTCAATATTATTAAGATAATAGATCTAAAAATAATGTGAGAAATTTATACTTTCAAGATTGACATATTGTGAATGTATGAAATTATTTGTATAATAATTTATTATTTTCTATTGAATATATAAAAGTTCTATATATAATATTTTTTAAGCGTTTTAAGTTATATACATTAGTTTCTAGAAGAGTAAATTATTTATTATCTTAATAAATTAATTTTTTAGGTCGCATTTATCATACATATTTTTGTCTTAACACGTTCCGTGCCGCGCTGATTTACGTGATTTTCCGTTTATGTTGCATATACAATTTATTATACTACTTTTATAAGGTATATTGTACAAAATTATAATTATTATTTATTTTATTGTTACATAACATTATAAAAATTGTTCAAAAAATATAATAAGATAAAATACGCTATAGAACAAAGAGATTATATTTAAATAAGAAATATTTGAAATATTAAATAAAGAATTATATGAAATATTTTATTTAAAATAATATGAACGGAAAAGTCAGTGTTGGCCAACGGTGAGCCTTGTGACACGGAACATGTTAACGACACGCAAGACAATTTAAAAGAGAGCTCAGCGCTAATTGCACATTTCAGTCCGATTCAATGTTTGAAAAACGAAAGACGTCGATTCATGTATTCCAGTTCGCAATATGTTAAAAATTATGTAGAGAGTGTAGAAATTTATATAAATATATACAAGGGAAAAATTTGTTCCTTTTTAATATTTCGAACATTTTCAATTGTTTTGTGAATCAAAAATGTCTTTACTTTTTATCGTACCTTTGTATATTTGTATAAATTCAGTGAAATAGTATAAACGTATATAATATTTCGACATACAATAAAGTTGATCATGCAGTATAATATGAGTAGTATAAATATGTACAAGAATATTAAGTAATAGTTAAGTAATAGAAAAATAAAAATCACATTATTTTATAGATCCATTATCTTAAAATGAGAGGATTAGGACTTAATTCTTGATTTCCCTCATTATAAATAAATTATAGATAAATTTCATTAGAAAGTGATTTATAGAGGTAAAGATTTCTAAATAAATGAATTGAAGATTTATCGTTAAGTAATTTATTTAGTATATTGATACAATGGACGCCTACGACTTAAGTAAAGCTAAACATGACTAGTTCTAGACGCGTTCTAACTCTTGTACTTGTATTTTCGTAACAAGAAGTAATAATAAATTATATTTAATTATTATAGGATTATGTATTATACCGATAATATAATCTATTAAATATTGTTTTTATATAATTATATAATGTCACAAATATAAATAAATTTGTGATAAATTCTAGAAGTCTTTACTAATAAATCAATATAGAACACAAGTGGTTAGTACCGTTGATTATATTCTCAAATCAACCATCGTGAAACATATATATATTTCTGTTTTTACGTAAATGTTTATTTTTGGCATATTACAATTTACCATAAAGAAGTCGTTAGACTTGGAAATCACGCGACTTTAAGATTGATAGCGATACGATTACTTTTTTCCTATTAATGGCAATAATGATAAAATTTCCGTTAACTTACTTATATACACATCGAAAAAAGAAGAATTTTTTAGTATTTTACAAGAGTAATTAACTATAATCTTATTACTCATTGGAATAAAATCGTTCTTTGTGAAATATGAAATTTCTCGAAAAATCAAATATCCCTATTGAATAATACATAGTAGCGTCATTTCTTTCCGTTGGCAAGTTTATTTTGGGTCGGTGCCAATGGCGCTCTTCTCTTAACGTGTTTCTCCGGAACCTTGTCCTTTGGCAGTGGCACTCCGTTAGACACCAAACCTCCTTTTCTCTTCCTTAAGGATTCCGTTGGGAGATATCCAGTCGGCCTTAGCAGCTGTCTGAAATTGTACGGGCCGTTAATGTCTTCCGCGTCGTACTCAACCTTGGCACTTTCCTGTCGCTTCTCGATGACCGTTGGCCTTAGAAGCTGTCTCAGATTAACCGCAATATTAAAAGTATCTTTCTGAAGCTGTTCTTCGTCCGTAGATTTTTCATTCGTTAATCTATTGATACCATTCTTGTGGTCCACATTATTTTGATGATTTTTTATCGGATAATCGTTTTGTTTATGACTCGATCGATATACTGGTTGTTCGGATTTGTTATTTTTCAAGCCGTTAGTTATCTTTGGTTGTTCGTTATTCGAAATCTTTATTTTGCTCTGTGCAATGCCGTTGCTTATTTTGCTGTGAATTGCTGTTGGTGAGTGATGGTTGTTGTAATCATTGACCGATGTATGATGCTCGTTGATGGAATTATGGTGACCGTTAACAAGATTCTGTCCATTGAGGACGTTCTGTCGTTCGTTTACAGCGTGATATCGATTGTCGATCGTGAATCGTAAGCCAGTTGGATCGTTGATATGCGGAAAATTGGTTCCACGTTGTCCGCCTGCGTGCGATTGCACGTTGTTGCCATGCAGGTCATTAATCCTTGTACTGGAAAGATATGACGTGTTTTTTTAATCTGTTAATTAAGTTTAACGAAAATGTACTAACGAGTAAAATGTATAACAAATAAATATAATATGCTGATTAGATATATGTACAAAAAATTGCAATCTAAAAAATTAAATTTAGAAATATTCTTAAGTCTGACTTTTGATGGCTGTACTTACTAACAAATGAACGATATTTTTTGTTTTATTATTAATAGTAATCATAATATGCCTGTCGGGCAAAAAATTTGAATTTTTACACAGACATTCGAAAAATAAGACTGCGTAGAAAAAGATTCTTCTAATTTAAGAAATAAGTTAAATTTTGAATTTTTTAATTTTATCAATTTTTTTTATAGTATATAATTTTCTGCTTTTTAATATTTTAGATATGTATTTCTCCTTTTTTATTCTATTCTATTTTTACCTTTTTTTACTTACAATCAGAAAAATACCATTCGATTTCTGTTTTTATTCTGGACAAGAATTATTCTTTTTTTTGGTATTAGTTTGGTTATCATAAGTTGTTTAATATCAATAATTTGCGAATTAGTTACAAAAAAAATGTATTAAAATTCTCTAGCAGTAGCTTAAATTTATAATTTTACCTGGAAATTTGCCATGATGTTTCTAGTAGCATACAGAACGACATAAATATGAGATTAGTTATTAGATATTATTTAAAATATGAAACAGTTTCATTTTAATTAATATTAAAATTGAAACTTGATAAAAAATTTACGAAATACAGTATTATAATAAGTAAATAAAATTGAGCAAATATTGATTTTGCTTTCTAAGTTCCAGACAATTGAATAAAAAGCGAAATAAATTATAGCTAAATTCTACACACACATAAATTTATTATAAATCATCAGAGTATGACAGGACAGACTAAATAATAGCGCCAAGTAACAGAACAGAATTCATCAAAGTAATAAAACGATGAAATATCGCGCATTTATTTGTACACGTGACGCAATTCTTACCTGAGATTTTTCTTGGAATTCTCGTTTTCGCGTTGATCGGACGAATGTCGCAGGGCTTTGTGCCAAATGTTTGACAGATGCTGCTCTGGTGCTACCGTAAAATCGCTCTGAGCCACACGATTCCTCCTCTCGGCATTTATTTCCAAAACTTGGCCACTCCGGTTCCTATATGAGAACAATTTTATTATATCGATATAGAAAACTAGTGCAGTGCTCAACGAAGCACAGTATGGCTGAAATATTATTTTTGAATACGAGCATATGGCATATGCAGTAAATGCTAGTGGAATTGATAAAATAAAAATTTTTACAAATTATTTGATTCGATATATAAATTATATTAAAAAAGAAATTAAAATTAAAATTTGAAATTTTAATTATAGGTATATTCTTATTCAAATTTTGTTATTTTTATAAGATTATTTATAATAATTTTTTAGTATGTACGGGTTTGTTTATCTTTAGTTTTCATATACATTACGTATCATTTTTACGTATGTATATATGTACATATAATTATACATATTAATGGTGTGATAGGTACATATAATGGTGTGATTTTGGGTTTTCGCAATGCCTAAATGGCGGTGGGAATACTAGCGTTATAATGAACTATAATACACATAGTCGAGACCGGATTTACGGTGTGTACCTCGAAGACAAAGGGTGAAGGTCATTTTCTAGCCGTATCAACGGTGAGTCCCAGCCAACTTCGTCGTCTTCGAATTCCGAACCACTTGCGATGCGAGCGCCGAAAGCATTTGAAAATTAAGTATTTAGATTTCTCTTTCATTTTAATTTGATTCGTTCACATCGTGTTCAATCGAGGGCAAGAAACGACGCGTTTGGAAATTTACATATATATTTACCTGCTCATCTCCTCCTTCAGATCCCGATAATATTTGACGCTGTCTTCCTCGTCCGGCTGCGTTCCACTGTGATATTGCAATATCGATTGCACCATATTGAATCCTTCAGGACGCACGTAATCCTGCGACGGCTCCTCGAGATCGCTCAATCTGATTCCGGGTTTATTGCGCCGCAAATTTTTGTGTACTTCCTGGTTCTTCATGTGTACCTGAAGATAGAGAAACCAGAAATAATCGCTAACGTCAAATCAGTACATGTTTGTTGATAAATATTAATACGGTTTTCGTATACTAGTAAGAAGATTAAATTTAGATAAAGAAGAGGAGTATATCTTTTTAGAATTATTATTATTTTAGTACTAATGAGTAGTTTTTAATCACATTTTGAGAGAACTGAATTAGATCCGCTTGTCGCAGTTTAGGATGTATGGGATCCTTTGCAACTGGTTTCCTTCTGATCACTCTTTCTTCTTTTTTGTACCATCTTTGAACAATGAGAGCTGCGTCCTCGTGCTTTAATCCTTCGCGTAACAACGCTTTGTGGCCGTCGTAGATGTTATCATAATTATTCAAAATCCTCTTAAACCGCTCCTCCAGTTCGTATCCAAAACGTTTTCGAATAGTGTAACCTCGGAAATCTGATGTTATATTATATTAATAATGTGTCTATGCATATATATAAGTAAAATGCGATTTTTATTTTACATACGACTTTGTATAATGACTGCAGCATCGTCCTTTTTTAGATTTTTGCGTGCTTGCCGTTGTTCCTCGCGATTATTCACATCAGTGTTTTTTAGCGCTTTACGTTTTTCATCTGCAAAGAAATCATGATAAGTACGAGCACAAGTAATTGTGGAGTTATTTAGAAAATTTGATCGTTAAGATCGAGAGTTGAAGACTTACTGAGTAAATGAACAGGTGTTGCATTTTTCTCTGTCAGGTGTTTTTGAGCTAACATTTCTCCCGTCTGTTTTCGGGACAACCATCCTCGGATATGGCGTTGCAGCGTGACCACTGATACAGCGAATTGCCATTTTTGCTTTTTGAATCTCATTTTCGCGAGCCATCGTCGAACACACGCTTGAACTATAATAATCTTCCTCAATTGTTCCTCGTACAGTTTTGAGAGAAATTCGACGTGGTAGTACTTCAGGAAGACTTTTGTCTTGCCCAATGCCCATCCGTCCATCTTCAAACGTAGCAGAAGAATTCGACAGTTGTCCCGATTGGCGACCACGCGTTCATCGTAGCCGAAAGCGAGAAAGCAATATCTGCACAATTCATGAATTTAAAATATGTAAATTTGCATGAAATTATTCCTTGTATTTTCTCGCGCATTTATATGCCATTTAAAAATACCTTTTAAGGAATTCGTTGAACGGTATTCTATGAGAAAATCCATTTTGTCTTATACGTATTGTTTCGAGAACACCGGTGTACCTCAATTGCTTTACAACTTTGTCTTTGTCGAAGAAACGTGGACTTTTCGAATCGTTTGGTTTAATACACCGAACGAATTGAGGCGAACCGGATACCATTTTTTGTAATAAATCCATCAAAGAATATCGAAAGTATGTTGCCACTGTTTGCTGTGCTCTCGATTGCGACGCTAAACCTCGACTAGAATAACGTTCCTACGAGATATCAATATGCCGTTAATATTTCATACAAAAATTGAAGAAGTATACAGAGTATGAAATCAGCACGCGCACATACATATACGCTAACATCAATAATATCTTGCACTTCCAGTTACAGATTTTTGCTCTTGTTTCAATTTTACATTTATTTACATGTAAATTAGAAAAATTATTGTATTTTCGTGAAATTTTATATTAATAATTAATCAAAAGTGTAAGGCATTAATGACGCCGTGTGTACCTTTGTGTTTTGATTCGACTGTGACTTTTTCGAATCATTTTCCTGCAGCGCCGAGTATAAATTTCCAGTTTTCGTGATTGGGCATTGGAATAAGAAACGAACCATATCGTACTGTGACTGTCGTACGAGTTGAATGACTTCGGGTGGCAGAAAGTTTCTGTTCTTCTCAAGGAATCCCTCGGCTTGATAGACTACACGACCGGCGAAATGATGAATCGCGAAACAGACCGCATCTGATTTCGGCCGCACGTAGAATTTTGATTTAATGTTGTTGTGGAATTTTTCTGCCAAAGAAATTGTGAAATTAATTACAAATATGTAGATAATTCTATTGATGAAGTTTGTTACTGCAATTGGGAATCGTGGCAAGTTTGAGCATTATTAAACAAAAAAGTTTGTAGAATTTTATTATTGAGAAGAAAAAGATTGATTTCTACAATATTTCGTGAAGTACTTTCTGTCCGGAAAATAGTAGTTATGAAAATTATACAAGGGTGTATTAAAAATTTTTTGTAAAATTAAAAGTTCAAACAAATAGCTTTTTTTATTTAGTTATCATTTTTTTCAACATATTTCTTGCAATAATTTTGCAATTCTTTGATTACTTGAAGAAAAATCTTTAGCTTAGAAATGATTAAAAAGTAAATATTTATTCCAAAAATTTAAATAATGGCTTATTGTTTTAAATAATTACTATATTTTTTATTTTTTACAAACATTTTTTTCCAATAATCTGTTTTTTAATTTTTTGCAAAACATTTTTTTAGTTGGCAAATTATGTAGTTAGATACTGCAACTTTAAACTCGTCATCGTTAGAAAAGCATTCTACCACATGTTCCACATCTGACGCTATCAAATTAGCGTGCATTAAAAGAAAATCTGAGAAGATCTGGACTGTACGAAGGATGTGGGAGAACGTTTTTTTAACGATGACAAATTTAAAATTGTTATGTAGTTTCTATATACTATAACAATTGAAAGTGTCTTGAAAACAGAGATAATTACATAAAAAACTAAACTATTATTTGAATTTTCATAATAAAAATTTATTTTATAATCCACTCTTAAAAAAGGCATGAAAGATCGATACTCGAATGTATCGAAAGTATTGTTGACGCTTTTCTGCGACGCTGATTGGTTATTATTCTGACAGTTTGATAGTTTGAGAGCAAAGGTTATTTTGGCGGTTATTTAAAATTAAAAAAATTTTTTTTAAATATTTAGATTTTATAATTATTAAATTACAATAATATGTGCGCGCGCGTAGCGCGCGCTTGTATTGTTCTAGTAATAATAAAAAATAATAACTTTTGCGGAAAATTTTTCATTTGTCTTCGTAGTATAATTTAATAATACGCACCGATTAGAGATCGATTGGTTGCTCTGGGAAATCGGCTCTCCTCGTCGAGAAGTGCCAGCAGTCCCATGGGCTTGCTGAGTAACATGTCGAGAACTGGTCTGTTGTCGGAAAACTCGACGAGATCCACGGGTATCCCCTCGGCCATGTATTCTTGTTGTTCCCAAGTGAAGATATGTTGGTTGAAATAATATTGTATCTGCTCATTAGCTATATTGATGCAGAGTTGTTCGAATGAGTTTCTGGGAAAGTTCTCGAAGCCGAAAATGTCGAGTAACCCGATCGCTAGTGGCTCGTAATTTGGTGAACGGCTGAAGCACAGCAGACAATTGATCTGGTTGACCATCCAATCGAAGAGCCGACCGTAGAGACCCTTGGCCATGGCATCGCGAGCTGCACGAGCCTCGGCTACGGTATTGTTTCGCGTAATTGTCTCGCCTCTGGTCATTACCGAGTTTGATGTCAGGGCTTCCAAGAGATCGTTTTGTTCGACGCCGAGTAGTTTTGAAACTGAAAGTAGGATGTTTTCATTACATAATCATTTATAATATTTGTATGCAAAGAAATTCAATTATTATATATCTATAATTTATTTAATTTTTAGAGTGTTATGTTTTTTTTTTATATCTTTTATTATACATATTATTGTGTATAATGATATAATGATAACTACAATATTAATAATAATAATGGAGATTAAAGTTATAAGACAAGAAGAATTATTTACCTCTATGTAACGGAATAGTGTCGATGACTCTGCTCTTATTATCGGTGTTATCTTCAGTTGCTACTTCGGCGAATTCGATGTCGCCCAAATGTAATATAGCGGCTAAAACTCGATACACCGTGTCTACCTCACTATCGTGAAACCCGAGTACCTTGAAACCCATCTTGAGCTGTTGAAACTTGTCGATGTGCGTTTGAGACGTGTGACTGTAATGCGTGAGATACCGATGATACTTCCGAAGTGTAGGGTCGAGATAAAATTCCGAAAGGCGATTGTCCGCTTCCAAGCCATCGTACATATAATAAAATATATGAAAATTTCGCTCACCCCTGAAAAAGTAGTTTAATAGAATCATAGCAAAACTCATTATTTTTTTACTTGTTGATTTAAATTAAGATATGTGCAAAGTGCTTCAAAACCACTGGATGTCTTTTCAGCAACGAATTCTTTGGCATTTTTGGAGTTGTGATTTTTTTAGTAAAAATATACTAGCAATTTTAAAATTTTGGTGATTGAAATGATTGAAAAAAGGGCTTTTCAAGTGAAATTAGCCTGTCACTTTATAAAAAGTCAAATGGATAACAAAACTACTTTTAATTAATTTCAGATGGAATTTATGTTAATAGAATTTCAATTTGGGTTGCTTAGTTGCTAAATGTTATGCAGAAAATTAGAAAGTTGCAATAAATGATACTTCGATATTTTTCTTGAGGGAAAATCAATTTCAAATTGGTCAAAGAATTTGTTATTAAAAAAACATACATTATTTTTGAGATATCTTGTATGTAAACTCTATTTGTAGTTTTCGAAACTTACTCAGCCTGCGCGATCACTCGTGATTGTTCTAATAGATATACTGAGATTCGCGCACCAGTCACCTTTCCGCCTTTCGTCATTGTTAGATCTAGGTATTTGCCGAATCTGGATGAGTTCGCGTTGATGCCGGTTGTAGCGTTTCCGAAGGCTTCCATTATGGGATTTATTTGAAGTATTCTCTCTTCGAGATTGCGATTCGGCGCCTTACTCAGATACACGAGTTGTTTTAACAATAAATTCGCGCTTTCCGTCTTTCCGGCGCCTGATTCACCGCTAATAACTATCGCTTGGTTCTGACGTTGATGAAGTAGTGCTTGATATGCGGCATCGGCAACCGCGAATATGTGCGGAGGATTATCCGATCTTGCTTGACCTTTATACCGTTTTTGTTCCTAAAGAATAAAATAACGTATGTCACATAAATATATATCTGCAAAGAAATATTTTGAAACGTGCGTATATAATTAAATGTCCGTAGGATTGATATATAAAAGTTCAAGATTCACACTAGATAGCAGCAGACATTAGGTCTGTTCTTTATAGCTGAACTGGCTGTACTAGTTCAGAGTTTATCTTTTTCCCTCCACATTGGAAGGAGAAAGATAAACTCTGAACTAGTGCAGCCAGTTCAGCTATAAAAAACAGACCTATTACAGCAGACATATCTTTATCGGTTATCCTATTTTATTTTGCATTGCTATTGCATAGCAATAGCACATGCATTAAAAATTAATTCGTTGAATAGCAAATTATTGAGCAAATAAATAGATGTTTGTAAAATTGAAAAAAAAAGACTTTACTTTAAAACTTTTAACTTGTTTTTTTTTATTTTTTGGCAAATAAAACAAAGCGACATAATTATTTAGTATTTTTTAAAATACACTTTTCAGTATATTAATATTAATTCATTTCAAAATTTTGCTATTATTCTATTGAATTCTCGTCTGTTTGTACTTAAAAAAAAAAACATTGGTAATTTCTGAAAATCGAGTAATTACAGGCGACAAAATTTTCAAGCGGGAAATTTGCGCTTATATGATATTAATTATTATGTTAGCAGCATAGTTTATTATATTGATTATATATGATATAAAAATATATATTATTTGACATAAGCGTAAGAGAGGTAAATGAAATACTTACGATACCAGTGTATAAACCCAGATTTGTAAACGGATTAACGGCCACCAATATATCCCCGATGTACGTGTATATCTGCGCTTGCTCGTATCGGTGCTGCAATTGATCGACAATAGCCTCCTCCGACAGCATGTCGAGAGCTGCCAGATCATCCATGTACATCTTCTCGGGCCTTGTCTTGCGGTCTGTCTTCAATTTGCCGTGTTTTGTAGTCACTTCTGGCTGCCGGTGAATACGGCCTTCCTCCCTCTGCCTGCGAATTTCCTCGCGCAGTTGACCTCTAATTTTCTCCACTATTGGCTCTACGCTCGTTAACAACGGATGCTCCCTCAATTCGCTCGCGAACGGCCGATGCTCGAGATCTTTCACTAGACATTCGGCTATGAAATCCGTCAGTTCTGACGTGTAGATGTCCGGATTTTTTAACGAAGGGGGTGGATTCCGCGGTATTTGAAAGAGCGCCCGCATAGGATGCAATTCCGACAAAGGGGGGTCGCCTTCGGCTAATTCGATAGCGGTGATACCGATTGACCAGACGTCGCAGCGTGAATCATACGAAGAGTCCAATTGCTGCTCGCAAGCTATCACCTATTTTTTTACACCATCAAAGAGTACAATTTTTCTAATCTCTTTTTTATAATCGCAAAAAGCGATTAGCCTAATATTTTCAAATAATTTGAGAGATACTAAAAGATTTTTTTGTTAAAATAATTTAATAGAGATAGATAAATTGATTGATGTTCAACATATATATATATTATATTCTTTATGATTCTATTGAACTATTTATTACAATTAATCTTAAATTAAAATTTCATTAAATTTAACCAAAAAAATAAAGAAAATTGAGGATAATTAAAGATCAAAAAATAGAAATAAGAATTGTTGTTTTTAAAAAGATTTTCAACTCTTTAAAAGCATTAAACTTTAAAAGCAAATTTACCTCTGGCGCCATCCAATAAGGCGTTCCAACAGATGTATTTTTCCTAGCGAGCGTCGCCGCCAGATGCGAAGACACGCCGAAATCGACCAATTTAACGCGTGCTTCTTCGGTAAGCAGAATGTTGTGACCTTTCACGTCACGATGCATACAGTGATTACTGTGCAGAAAGATCAGGGCTTCGACGGTCTCCTTTAAGATGTAAGCTATTTGGCCATCCGTTAGGCGACTGCCACGTTTTTTGAGACCTTGTACTAGATCGGTTACGGAGCCTCCAGTACACAACTGGAACCGGAGCAATTAACTTCTTATATATACTTTCTTATATATACCTCGATTCCGTTCCTTGTCTGATAAATTAATCTACGGCAACTATAAAAGAGCGCATAAAATTGCACAGAAACCATTAAAAAATATGATGTTTCCTTCATTTCTTTTGCTTTTAATGGCAGGCGCGTCGGTAAAATTTCGAATTCACTTTATTAAACAATTCTTTAATATTTTTAAACAATGTTAATTAATTTGTACATTTTAAGTAATATTTTAATAATAATTAAAACTAATTTTAGATGCTTTGATGGATTATAATTTTATACCTTTATTTTTATCGGTACATATTCATCACGTAGATTTCATAAATTTTTATTATAAATTTTAGCGTGAAATTTAATGACGGTACCTCCATCACGAACCATAATTGATCCTCCTCTTGACCAGGCTTTGCACGTTTCAGAAACAAACCGTGGAAGAGAGGAATATTCGGATGTAGACTTAGATCTCTCAACACTAGATATTCCTCTTCGATCTCTTCAATATTATCAGCGACATTCTCCAGTATTTTGATAGCAACTTTGTTGCCGGTTTCCTTGTCGTAAGCGGCGTATACTTCGCCATATGTACCCTCGCCAATTAATTCTTCCAATCGAAAGCGCTCGCCAGGATCCGGTATCACGTCAAAATTGACGTGTTGACTAAGGCCGTGGTATGCCATGTTGGTCCCTCCTCCGGTCATTTCTGTACACAGTCGATAAATACATCGTTAAATCGTAAAAATAATCTATGTAATATCAAATGACATTACTCTAACGAAGACTATCAATGTCTTCGCGTTAATGTCAATTGAATATATCATCTAATGCATTTTTGTTTCTTTTGCTTTCAAATACTCGTATGTATTGAAAATTATTAATAATTAATTTCTAATTATTATTTAAATTTTAATGTTAAGGTATTTATTATTTAAAAATATAATTAGGCAGTATTAAAATTATTTGAACAAAATTTAATTCTATTTTAAGAAAATTACTCACCCGATGACATTTTTATTTATTTTTTTCTGTCAAGTAGAAGATACCTTTTGCAAATCTTAAAGAGCATTGGAGAAAGTTTAATCGAGCCTTCTCGTAATTTGAATTGTATGATTTTTACTCATCGATTATTATCTATCCGTATGTTTTCTTAGTTTTTCGAAAGTTTGACATCTGAATAATTTTGATATCTCATTGAACTGGAGAGGTACGTTGTTACTTCGACCAACTGTGATACAGTACTGCGCGCTTGTTTTCTAACTGGATACTTGTTAACCCTTTAATACTATTAGGTTCGTATTGGTTGGACCGGCGCACTTCTACCTTGTCTGAGAAATAGATCTGCTAAGAAAAATATATCTCATTTTGCTTGAGTTTTTTTATAATTGTTTTTCGAACAATTATGATTGTAAAAATCATTAAATAATATATTTTTGCAGTGTATGATATAAAAGGCTGTTTGATGTGAAAAAGCTATAGTATTAAAAATATTAAATTATATTCTGATGTGTGTTAATTTTTATTTTTTATTATTATTTTGCTTTGTACATTAAAATTTTAGAGAACTTTATTTTGATAATTTTTATTCGTTAGATTATTTTATTTCGTATTGTAGAATGGAAAATAAAATTAAATATTTTTACTTTACGTGTTCTATAATTCACGCTTCATTATCAGTGGATTTCATTTTTCTCAAAGGAATTTTTGTTTTGAATAATGTTGATTTTAATTAGGGAAGTCTCACCCAATTTACTGAAGCCATGTAAGAATCGAAGCTAACTGTGGCTTCTAGCGACATTTTATGACACCAAATTGGATATACGATTATAAACTGCAAATATAATAATTAAACTTGTCGTAAACTGCACGCAACTTTCCACTTTTATAGTAAAAAATATTATTAAATAGGCTTGATGCCTTCGACAATGTGATAAGTCGACACTGTTCAGATACTCTCTCAATTACTGCAGCAACCGATTTTGCTCGATGTTCGTTCGTGCATATCGGTGAAAGGATTTCTCTTAGAGTCTCTCGCAGCCCGCCTTAATAATTTTTGATGCGCTTAATTTCACTGAATATGCAGATTAAATTTGTAGCGTGACTGACAAGAATGCGTCTTAATTAAACATAAAACGTCGGACATTAAACCGTGTTTCTATCGAAATTTTGATTAGTGATTTTAATTAAAAATATTTTTTTGTGTCGTTATTTGATAATTAATAGTTCGTTATTAATTAGATTGAGCAATGGTCAGAAATAGTTTTAAAACTTTATTTAAATAATGATTAAAACTGCACATTTCTTATTACTCTTTATATTGAACAGCTTTTTTTATCGTTCAAAATCATGAATCTTGTATATGTAGAATTTTTCATTGTCGGAATAGAATAATGGCAATTATGTCAAAAACGCACTTATTAATTGTGCACATTTATTAATTTTACACGTGCAAGAGTTTGCGCATATAATTATGACGATTAAATGGGAATTGTGTGAGGTTGCTAGTAAGTGCGTATACCGTAACAACGGTTTACACGCAAAAGTTGACGCTCATGGAAAACTCTCCGAGTTTCTTGCACCAGAAATAATTTGTGTAACCACAAACACACGTTTATCGAGTTAAGAAACATGATATATTGAACGATCATCTATCGATCTAAGTCAAATTAATAATGTGGCTATCTTCCGCATCATTGATTATCAGGAAATTTCAATTTGCTAAATTGAATCAATCAGTGAATTTTTTTTTCTTAACAACAAAATTTTTATTAGTAGACAGCACATTTCCTCATCTAATATTAAAAACGATAAAAAGATAAGAAAATATAATATTGAGGCATTTATCTGTGAAAAACTAAGTATATTCCATTTGTGTTCAAATTTAGTTTTGTTAAGAACAATTAAGCAACGTTTGTTTAAGTAGGATAAATAATTTATCGTTCTTAAAATCTCGTTTATAAATAATATGTTGCTTAAACATCCGGCATGTCAAGAAACGTTTCTGTTTCCACAGATTTTATTCACTAGAAATTTAACCCGGTTTACAGACTTAAAGAGTGAAGATACGTAAAGTGGTATTCAAAGAATGAAATTATTTATTTAGTCATACTAGCATTTCTGTAATTTATAATGATCAGTCACGCTCGTTCTTCGTAATACTTCTTCGTTCACCCATTTCACAGATCGATACCCTCTGCTGCGGACATTTTACTGTAATTTCTACGAAGGCATTGTCTTTGCGGTTGCTGAAAGGCGATCATTTCGTTGAAAAGATCGCCCGCGAGACATTTCACCGCGAAAATGCGCGATCACTTTTCGATCTCACGGTTCAACAAAAGTATCAATCGCGCGGCAATAATCAATCGTATACCCTCGATCACGTGTTCGCTCGGAAGTATTAGAGCGAAGAAACCCGACATGAAATCGGCTTAAGGGTTCAACTGCAAAGTAATGTCCTGCTGCCTTGGATAATACTTGACTGAAAGCGGGCAAACGTGATGTTTAAATAACGAATATAACGGCTTCTTCTTACGTTATTGATGCGAAAATTTTGATTGTTGATTACGTAACAGAAGTAGTTTTTTTCATGCATGTATTATTATATTCGGCATGTTTAAATATATTAATCATGATGATATGTATAAATACCGATTAAACTAGATTTAAAAAATTTATTTCTGAGCACATACTGATCTTTCGAGTGTCAGTTAAAACCCAAATTTTTATTGTAAAATGAGTATTGTGTGTTAAATTAATAATAAAACTTTTTCAAATTTATTCAAACTTAAAATTATTCTTATTTGATTCAATTTCTTAAATTAACATATTTGTTTTTAACATATTTTTTTTTACATATTTATTTAATAAAGTACAGAAAATATCGCAGTTAATGCTTGATTGATTTTGTTTAAAAATCATTAATTTTTCAACTTTAAAATTTAATTTTGTTTAAATAAAGCCTTATATAAAAAATGTTACGTTGACAAATTATTTTTTGAAATTATATAAAGATGATTCTCGTAAAGATAGTATTCAACAAGAATTTTCTTGAGCGAGAATTTTTTTCACATTGTGGCAATTTAACGTGGAACGGGATCTGCGAGTGGAAAAGCGTAACAGTCCTTTATTCCGCGTTCCAGCGACCATCGGCGGTAATCATTGTATTATATCTCTAGCTCTGGGAAAACAATGCTCGCTCGCGTTTGTTTCCGATGAAATAATGATTCGAAAGCAGTGTCGCGCGGACGACTTTCCATTCTTAAATTATTTCGCGCGACTTTTATATAGCGATTAATTTCCTTTTTGATTTTTTATAATTATCTATTGTATGTACTTCAGCTCACTGTATAAACTGTATAAAGTAACTGTATAAAGTAACACTGATCTGTTGTGATGTTTTCGCTAAAGAACTTGGATCTTTTAAGTGTAATTTTAATCAGAACTTTATATTATGTCCATCTTGCGCATTAAAAAATTTTATAAATAAATTTGATAAGAACCTTAAAGAGAAGTATTTTGTACGATATATTTCAAAGTATTTATAGTTCCGCTTTCGTGATTTGTATTAATAAATCTCTGTGATAAATCGCATGACCGATAGCGTGCTGTCACGAAGAAGACAAATAAGAAAGATACGAAAGAAAAAGAGAGAGAGAGAGAGAGGGAAAGCAAATTTTTACTCACATCATAATTTCTCCGGTTTGTTTTTAGCGTGATCGTATGTCAAACTGTTCGGCGAGTGCAAAAGGATGGTAACTTTTCCCGATTGTACATACGTTACCAGCCGCGGTTCCGCTGGGTTTAATCTTTTCAGCGTGACGGTGTAACGGTACAGTGCGTGCCATCAATGACTATATTGCGCTTCTACGTAATGTTTAACGCACGCGAGATTGCGCGCACAATGCCGTCGAAATAGTGCGCACGACGCATGCTAATTGCGGTGAATGAAACAAAACGAAATTATGCAAATTGCGATCGTTTATGGCGGCGACGCGTTCGCGAAAAGTGTGTCGTCGGCGTTCGCGCGTTTCGAATCGATTCGCCTCAGAGAAGATATTTGACTCGGACTTCGGTCAGTGTGCACATGGAATTTGTTCATGCTATGTACAAATAATAAATTCAGGTGCAATAAACCTGTAAACAATATTTTTCCTACGACGAGTATAAAGAAAGCTAATGAGCAATATAGTCATGCAAAAATTTCTGGGCTTTCAGCTTTCAGTTCGACGAGTTATCGTTGCGAGACGAGAAACTCGATCGTTTGGACAGCAGTTGTTATAATTTCTAATAAGGGCAATTTTTTACGAAATGTTCTCTTTAATCTGCTTGTGGAAGCTTATTGTTTACCTAAAAATCTCAATTTTGAATAAATAGCAAGAAAAAAAGGGTAATGCGATTTAAATCACAGTTATTATATTATATATTTGTATTTCTATTTCGATTTCTATTTTATTATTTATTATTCTATACGATTTCTATTTCTTGCTTCACAAAGTTTGCAGGACGTTTCGATTCCATAATTCAGGCCATCTTCAGTTGAATATTCTTGCTGATTGATCCTTTAGGGTAAATAATATTAAAATTACAATTATTTTTTTTCACGACGTTTCAATGTCGGAACGTTCAATGTCTCTGTCATTCAGATGGATGGCAAAAGTATTCTACGCAATTCTTTCACATTATTTATTCGGAATGTTAGACCGAGGAATCGAAATATGTTTTTGCTTCTATAGAAATTAGACCGGTTAGAATATCTTATAGTACTTATTCAACGAGGCATCGCCGGGAAAATTTTCTAAAGGAGGTGAATGGTAAGATAGATGAGTACAGTTTCTTTTAACGATCGAAATTTTCAAACGAACCACGAAGCACCGCTCTATTAACTATGCGTCCGTCATCGTGGAAACCTCGTGGTAAAGAAAATCGAATTGTAAGCAGAGAAGTTCGCGACTTGCAAACGTTTTCTGCCATGAAAGACGAGTTGTGTAACATAGAGCTGTAATTGCTACTTTTTTAATAAACCAAAACTCAGTACGTGCAATCCAACTGCTTTGTATGCAAATGAAGCAGTATTTGCGACACAAAGCTGTGTGTCTGCGTATAGAAATACTATCTGAAAGGAAATACACACGCAACATCAAGATATGAGTATACAAAGGTATAATGGGCGTTAAAATATTTCGTTGAGCAGTTTCATTATATATGTAGGGTGTGTGAAGTGAACTTTAGGAAAAAACAATGGTTTAAGAATTAATTCTTCCAATTAGAATTTATAATATATATATATTCTTATTGTGTGCTTAATTGGATTTCTCTTCTTTTCATAAAAATGACATTTAGAAGACAGAATAACAATGTGTTTGTATACGAAACTCGATCTCTATGCAATTGCCGCACTTCCGTGACGACAGATCTCTTAGTTGGTACTGTTGCACCGTGAACGATCGCGTGCCATTCGAATTATGGCATCACGAGCTATTAAAACGATCAACGACAAAAAGGAACGTTTCCGTGTCGGGAAAAAGCGTGAAGATGACGGGGGACGAGGGGGTAATTAGTTTTAAAAGAAAGTCAAACGACATTTCCAGAGAGAGAAGGCGGAAGTGACGGTCATCAAGAAGATTTAGAGTCGAACGGCCGCATCACAGATTATTGACTTTACTTTTTCTCTGTATTTTTCTGCTCATTTTTCTTTTGCATCACTAAAAGAAAAACGAAAAGAAAAGAAAGATACGATACTATGTAATCAGACAGGTCACGTAAAAATAAATCAAACGGTCCGCTTTGCTGAGTTGCTGTGCGTGTGAGACTGTATCTCTTGATAACTTGTTAAGATACATACAGTAATATTCACTCAAAACCGGATTTTTGACACAGAAACCATAAAATAAGAATTTATGTTTCAAATGGGATTTAATGATTCTAGTAATATATAAATTTAGATCTCAAGTTATACAGAATGTGAAAAGGTAATGGTAAAATAGCAAACATTTTCCCCGCGTGTTTCCATATCATAGACTTTTTTATATAATAAATTTAAACAAATAATTAAATTCTTTATATAATGATATAAAGCTGCGCAACTGCATATTAAACCTGTGATTACAAGATTATTTTATGAAAAGCGGTGAGATCTTGGCGGCGAAATCAATTTTACTAAGGAAATGGAAATGCACTTCCCGAGTGCAACGGCGCGCGAGAAAAAAATCATGTAACAGTATCCGCTGTTACATTGTACCGTACCGAATCTATTATTTTTATGACGCGTCTGTGCTTCTTCTTTCATAACGCACGTAGAGAAAGTAACGAAGATTAACGCAAAAATTTGCACATTGAACGACAAACAGCAAACAGTTTCTATAATATTAAAAGAAAAGTATAGTATATACTTATATATAATATAAGTATATATAATATAAGTATAGTAGCTTACGCGCGCGCGCGCGAAAAGAATTCGAAGACGAGGCTGAAGGAAATGAATCAAGAGCGTGGTCACAAGCAATTAGTTCTCATGTCTGAAACGAAATTACAACTCTATTACGATCAAGTCGCATTTCTTTTCATGCTTTCTCTGACGCAATCATTTCTCTGTGATTGTAACGATCACATTTCATAGATTTCTTTCCTATGACGTGTCTCCTATGTCTTGCACGTATCAGAGGAAGTTCGGTCGTGTATGTGTCATTATAATCGGATTTAAAGCTATTATATGTAAAAAACTTGAAGATTTTATCAACGATTATTGTAGCTCGATTAAGAATACATACTTTACATATTAAAATATTGGCAACAATTTTATAGATTATTATAATATTTTTATCGCATATAATTGCATTACGCATGTTATTTCCGTGGGCAATTTCATTTGGCAATTATTTGTTATCTTGGTTTTTGTAATTAATTTTATGAAAATTTTTATTCACAAAAGTTACTTCACCTCTTTTTTTATCGTAGAAAAATATTATAAATATTCTTTCTAATAAAAATTTAATTAAAAATCTAATTAAAACTTATATTAATTAGTAAAATTGCAATTATCTATTTAATTAAATTCTCTATTTAATTTAAATTTATTTATTTAATATTTGAGTGTGAAATAAGAAGTACATTGTTGTTAAATTTCAACTTTTAGCTAATATTATAGAGCCAATACATCTTTAATTAAATTAAATTCTTTTTTCTTTGAAAATTGAAACGATATCATGCACTCTTATTATATGTATGAGTTCTTAAAAATATTTTTTTTAATTGCAAGATGACTATAATTATGGGTAATGCCATCTGATGAGACATGTAAACTGATGAAACGTGTAAATTGATGAGATATGCAAATTGATTTTCTGGATATTAAATTATCTTCATCTACTATCGGAACGGAAAAGCGATAATTATATACGGATACATAGTAATGATTATGAAGCAGACGTACTACGCCGCGGATATTGCTTCCTCGAAAGTTGCTCACATAACTCGCATGTAACAGATATTTGATTAGCCGTGTTACCGGCGCTACGCGCGGATGTATTTGGTAAAGTACGCTTTGCTCGGTTCATTTAATTATGTACCTATGTACCCTACAATCTTGATTATACGTACAATTGCGCATTTGCGACAGTCGTGAAAGCAGGAAAATTTTTGCGCGACATCCTCCTAGTATTCAATTACTAATCACAAAGCTTGCAAAAGAAATTATATGACAATAAAAATACATATTTACATGTATTTTTTTAATATTATTATTGTAATATGTTTATTTATATTTTGTATAGGTTTATTTTTTTATTAAAAAAACATGGAGTATTATAATATTGAAGGTAGTATTGAAATTAAATATGTGTGTCAAAATTAACGGTACATCGATCGAGAGATGTATCATTGATAATTGAACGCGATCGGAGTAGAACACCTTATATGGTGAGAAGTGAACGAGTGTGGACATAAGCGCTCCGGATAGACATAAGTTCAAAAGATGGCCTTGGACTATCACGTAATAATCGTAAACGACGATAGCGCAGACTGATCAACAGACAAGCAAAACAAACACGTGTTTTTGGGTGTGAGAAATATCTTTTTTCAGATATTCGCGATACTCGCGTGATCGTCGTTCATATAACTGGTTTTCATCGGTTATTACCATCTCTGTAGTACGCGTGAAATATATTGACGATGTTATACATATACGGCAACTTGCCGAGAAAGTTTTCGAGCAACGAAGGCGGTGCCCTTCGCCGTGACCGGTCTTACGTTCCAAAAAAGTGTCCATGACATTCCCCGCGCGTTTAAGTTCAAGGTGCTAAGAGTATACACCTTATTTAAGAGTCTTTTGTGATCTCTCCGAATTTGTAATTACTAAATAGACACATAATCTTAAGAGTCTGAAAGTAGCACCACAATTTCGATTCACACTCTGATGTCATAATAAGTAAAAAACAACTCGCAATAGATAAATGCTCAAGTGTTTTTATAAAACGTTTTCCTAGATTAGTGTTAGTGTATCGCCGTTAATATCGTTATGATTCATTATTATTAATCAGTATTGACGAAAATAATGTTACAAGACCTTTTCCTTGATAAAAATCTGAATTGATAAACTCGTTTTCTTTTCGATAAGTTCTCGATGTTCAACTTAACATTGAGTCGTGTTTGTCGTATAATTTATATATATATAAATTTTTTGATATCTATATAATAACCGACTTGAAAATGCATTATTTTTCTTATATAAAAAATTTATCTCTTTCTTTTTCTCTGAAGTATTAATAAAAAAATTTTTTTGGGAAATATGAACAATTTAACGAAATATTTTGTATTATGTATCATTTAATGATTACATTAAAAACTGAAGTAAGCGAGAGTAATACAGAGTGAAATATATTCATGCATAATTCAATAATAATAGTATATAGTATGCAGAGTAAGTAAATCAGATACAATCAGCATTATAAGCGTAAATTGAACTGTGAAATATTTAAGTAACTTGATTATTTAATCAATTAATTTTTGTAGCAATAAATTCGTAATTTAAAACAACAACAGTTTTGTTGACATATTTATTTCAGTGATTTATAAATTTTATAATAATAATCAACATGTAGTTACAATCTGAACAGCGATAATACTGAATAAATAAATGATGCAGTTATAAAGTTAAACGGATTTAATATTATTTCTTATTTACTAAAGCAGAGTAGTTAAATGGAAAAATACTTGTTTGAATCCTGACTTTTTCCTTATCGTAAGAAATACTATTTAACGTCTATTGTTGAATCAAATATTGCGCATGATGCGGATTTTTGACCGGTGATTGCAATCTAAATAATACCGCAATTTCCTGAATTACTGTTGACACATTACTCACATGTTCTAGTGACAAGACCTTCAGCAGGAAGACACAGCCGTGTGCTCGGTCACGATGAGATCGCGAAAAAGAAATGATATACACGTAGCGCAATGATCGGTCGATGGCCAAGTTGTTGCAAGTACACTCGCGTGCTAGCACAGAGAAACGTTCGCGTCGGAATCGGCGAGACGAGTTTACCGCGATACGTCGCGACTACCGACTGACTGTCCGACCGGCTGACTGTGAAGGTGGAACACAGTATCAATCGGCGAGAGTACGGTTGCACGAGTATCCGGCGTCTTCAGCGTGTGACGCCGGCCGTGTTCGAAGGAGACCGCGTTGGCGCCCCCTCCTCGTCATAGGTCTTCGTCCGCTTCTTCTCTTCCGGGACTCAGTCTGTCCTTTTCCAACTCTCGCATTTCACAGTCAACGGTTGTTGCGTATTAAAGATGTACAAGTATTTGACAAACTAACGCAAAACTTTTATAGATTATTTTATTATTTCTGAATTGAAAATCTGTACAATTCTCTGATCAGTTTGAAAGCTATTAAAATTTTATGTGTTTATTGATTTTTATTGAAAATCACGCGTTGCAGGATTTATTGACAAAATTGATAACGAAGAAACATTATTAGCTATCGGATTCTCTTTATGAAAATTGTTTATTTTGAATTGCATCAAAATTCTTGAAGAGAAAACGAAAAGACTTTTGGCCAATTGAATATTTGGAAATTTGTTGCTATCGAAAATTTTGCATATGTAAGAATTTTAACAGTTATTACATACGCAAAGCCTTCTTGATTGATCGTATTCTTTTTCGTTCATGTACTGCCGCGAAATAAGAACTAAAATGTGCATAAAAATAGTACTAGAAACGGCATAATTGAAAGTTAATGCTCGCAACATGTCTGTTCACTGTTAAACAACTGAAAGTACGAAAAATTGACGTATATCTTCGAAGAAGATCACAGATGATCGCATAATGCTCATTAATCATTGAGGAAAGTGTTGTTCGAGAGATTGAGCATCGTTCGCATAATACGATCAAGAACAATCTCAGTATTCGTTCTCACTTCGATTTGTGTTTCTCCCGTCATCTTGTCTTCTAATGCATGTATCACAGATGCTTGTTATGATCGCATCGATCGATATTTGATTAGCTTTCACTTATTCATGATTCTTATAGTAAAATTTTGCTTAGATTGTAATAATAATTGTAAGGTTAAACAATGGCAATTAGTTTAAAAGTTTATTTCGTCATATTTTGCTCTATATTATTAATTTAATATTATCTTTCGCTTTTCACTCTCACGATGTCGCTCTAATGTTTTATCTTCCTTTCTGCTGTTACTCATTTTAACTTCGGAAAATTATATCTAATTATACCACAGATGTACACATAATGGACACTTATTGTGTAAGTACGTTTCACATAATTGTAGTCTTCATAAATAATGAAAAGACTTTAGAATGACAGTAATATTCGAAGAGTTTTGTTACCAGAATTCTTCGCTGTTTTCTAGGTTTATGGGAATAAAAATTTCTTCTTTTAAAGTAATTTTCTCTTTAATGTACTCTTTTCTCAAGTAATTGTATTAAATACTATATTTCTGGAAAAGAAACTTTATCGATTTATGTTAAGATGCAAATACGCATTCATTACGCTGTTCATGGACAGCTAGAAATCGAACAAGCTGGTGTTAACGGATTAAATTTGCGTCTTTAAGCTTTATACTCGTCTCGAGAAATTTTTTGTTCTGTCTTTTATACTTACTCTTTTGCATTTACAAAATGTACGCATTTCAAAACATGTGTTTGCTCAACATGATAATGCACCTGTAACTTTATGCCAGCTTTGATAGATTAACTTTTTAACTGTTAAGAAATAGCGACTTTTTGTTACTAAAAATTATTTCTACGGAACAATACGAGAATCATTAAGAAAAGAAATCATGTGGAAATCATTAATAAAGCGTACAATCTTATTTCGGAGGATCGTAAAAAATGCAATCAAGATTAACTGAGTTTTTTATAAAAAAAAGTTTGATTGCTCCAAGTAAATTATGCTAATTTTTTTCTTTAAATTATCTATAATATCAGGAACACACAGAAGCAGGAATACTTACATGTCAAATACTTACATCAACATCGCTATCGATGAAGATATTATCAGTAACACGACGTCGTTAATACGATAAGCTGTTATTATTCATTTACGGTTGAAATCTTTGTTTTTGCTATATTTTTTCAAAGGTCGTACAAACGACGGATGTGCGTTCGTGGAAGCGTAGAAGAGCGGCCGATAAGCGAGATAGCGTTCCTCCAACTCGACGTCACAGTCGGATAAGTTGAAGTTCAACGATGCGTGATAAGTACTCACTATTCCACTTTACTCATCATACCTCTCGCTGACACGTAGAATTCGATGTATGTGCGTGTGTATAGATAACGAGGGTACGGGTATACAAGCTGAGTTGCAGAAAGTGACTGCTTGCTATTAATGACTCAACCGAGGATCAAACGGTATCTATATCTCATCGATACTCGAAATACCGCTATTCCAAAAATAGTCGTCGAATCATATCAGCAGAAAGATATTAAACTGGGTATTAATACTTGAGATTATTACTGTGTCATATCATATGAGATGTATAGATAAAACTTAGTATCTTTAATTTATAAAGTTACTCAGCGTTTTCATACACATATTTATGCGTTTAACAAATTCAAAATAGATTTGGATGTTTTTATATCGAATTTAATTGTTTTTTATTTTAAGCTAAGTAATTGTTTTTTATTTTAATGAGATTAACTATTAACATTGATTACAAAAAAATTAAATTAAACTGCAATTTGAATTAACCGACATTAGTAGAAATTGTCTGCTTAGAATATTATTTAAAAAATATTTATTACATTAAAATGTTTGCTGCTTATTTTCTTAAACGGATGTTGAAGTCGTTCGTTTTATCAAGCGAGCACACCGTTTTATTTTTTCAATTCATTATATTTATTATAAAATAAAAAAATATATATATAGTAATACACAGCAACAAACTCAAAATTGCCGAAAACAAAAAAAACTGAGAAAGTTTATTTTTACGTATTTGATTGAGTTCAATATGACATCTTTAACCAGGCGTAAAAATGTAATTTTGGAATTTTTTTCTTTGATATAGTTTTGTGTAACAAATATTTGTAACCTTATGTAGTATTAATAAATTGATAAATTTAGAAAATTAAAATAATTATGCTCGATCGGTACAATAGATGACTTCAGTATATTCTTCATATTACCACCTTATCAGTGTATCGACAATGTAGCTTATTGATTTTTGCCTGTGTGCTTTGATAAAGACCTTTTGTGTTTATTAGATGGAGCAAGGAGTTTACTAAATACGTGTAAGATATTAGAAATCAAAATTAGAAATTTACTTTATCATTAATCGACAACTTTAAAATAATTTTTTTTAATGATTGAATTCAGACTTTCCGACGTTTTTATTACATCTATGAAATGTTATATTTTATTACTTTACATAAAGACAATTGAAAAAGCAAATGATAAAGATAATATTACGAATATCATTATGAATAAATACGAAAATTAAATGTTTAGAAAAATGCTACAAAATTATTTTTTAATAACATATTGCGTTTATTTTTGTAATATAAAATAATAAATATTTATAAGGTGTTATGAAATAAATAATATTATATAAAAACATATAATACTTTTGTCTGTTATCAAAAATGCAGTAAAAAAATATTACATTTTTTACTCTCGCTTCTCTAATTGTAATGTTATAATAATACGTATTTGGTACTTATATGTTAATTTTTGAATTTTTTTCTTATTGATATAAATTTTAAGTTTGAAAAATTCGAAATTAATTTTATTTAATTATTTTAATTTTCTCAATTTATTAATACTACATAAAATTATAAATATTTGTTACACAAATTTACAAATTATGTCATAAAATTTATAAAACAATATAAACATTGATGGACAATATAATAAACAGAACTGCATTAAAGTAACTATTAATAACATTGTAACCATTAATAGACCGCAGACTTTTGACATTATTTGTGGTTCCATTTAGCTCTATAATGAAATGCTTAATATCGCACATGTCATTAGAATCGTTTTCAATATTATCCTATCGTCATCCTACGCAAACAGATTTAAGCTGAGCAAACGCAACACTCGCATCAAATAATCGTGTAGTACAATTCGCATCCATTAGCTTTCATTAAATATCATTAATCACGGTAATGAGAGTGACAGCTTTATTTAATAATTATCCAGGAGCGATATAGGAGGATTGTAGTTTCGTAGTACGGCACGTTTAAAGCCGGCAAACAACGGACTCCATTGTTCTCGGTATTAGAGATTTACAACAAAGAAAAGTTTGTATACCCGCTTTATAAGAGCCTCCATTGTTTCGTCATTAATTTCAGTAATTATTCTCGAAAATGTTGATTACCGTTTTACTTCGATGAATTATCAAATGTTATTAATAACATTTCATATTTC